GAATTACGCTGACAATATATATTTTTCTAGTTCCCCGATTACAGAAATTCGCACAGATGCGTCTGTAGTCTACATACAGGCCCGTCTATCGGATACATACGTCTACACGAATGCTCCCGATCGCTCCGGAGGCTCGCCGCGCCGCACAACGACGTCGGGCGCGCGCACGCCGCTCTGCACCTGTCAGCAGCCACCCCGCCAAAGACATAGACCCCGACCTCTACCATCTGTCCGTACGCCGCTGAAAATGACATAATCAGCATCGTTGAACCTAGGGGCATGCACATGGCAAGTATCAGCGCGTTCCGGGGAGGTCAGAATTCGTCTAATTTCGTCGTTTTCATGGTAGATTCTGACAAAATCGCACTTTGCGCGTCCCCATCGCCGCGGACCGAGACGCCCTTCAGACTGCACGTTCCACTCGACGCCAGGAGCCACCCGTCGCGTCGTTCAGACGCGTATGGTCGATATGACCACTGGCATCATCGCACACGGCGCCGAGGGCCGAGTCTCAGCACACGGCCAGGACCTCGTCGCGCACGTCCCAGGCCGCCATCATGCATGCGCTACGCTGCCCAGACCACCTCCTCGAGCTCACGAGCGTGCTGCACTCGTCCAGCGTGCTGCACACGTCGCACACGCCCAGACACGACGGCGCGCCCCCCACCGCAACGCTGCACCGAAAGAACAAACACTCACCTCGAACGGCGCCCGCACCGCTGCGCATCCTCCACACCCCCACGGCGCAGCCGCCGTCGTGCGCCGCAGCCCGCGAACACCGCATGTTGGGCGGCGTCAGCACACGGCCGCGCACAGCGCCGCGTGCCCGAGCCGTACCGCGTCCAGCGCACGACCGCACACGCCCAGGGGAAGGAACTCGCGACGAGCTCGAGAGAGAGAGGAGAGCGCAGAACGGGAGGAGTGGGGGATGTGCACGCTCCCCCGCCCGCGGCGCACCTCTTAAGCCCCCCTCTTCCGGGCAGGCCCCGCCCCCGCGACGCGCGCGGGCGTGCAGCCGACGCGGTCGCCCAGGCTACGTGGTCCGGCGCCAGCGCCAGCACGAGTGCCACCCCAGCCCCGAATCTGCGATCGCACGCGACGGCGCGGCCCTGGCTGCACGCCCGGATCCGCCGCGGCGAGTACGCAGATTGCAGATTGTGCACGGGGGCTACGCGCTACGCGTGCTACACGGGCCCCACGCTGCGCGGGCCCTGCATGCAGACAATGCGTCGGCGGCCGGGCGTGCGGTGTGTGTCAGCTCGTGTGGATGGGCTCCCGCGCTGCCCCTTCGACGAGGAGTGGGAGGATTGGAGTGCGGGGCGAACGGACTCAGCGCCGCCGCCTTCTCGCTGCCCAGCGTTGGCACTTCCCGTCCGTCCGTGCCCACAGCACGCCATGGGATTTGCCTGGGCGCTGTGAGGCCTGCAGCACACGGTCGCCCCCTCGAGATGATGCTGAACAGCGTGCGGCGGCTCGCCGTTGGCGCTCTGCACCCGCCGTCTCCAACGTCCATCACGAACACCTCCGCATCTCGACCCTACCGCCGGGTTGCTAGTGAGCAGGCCTGCGCTCGGCACTGGTTGAGTCTGGCTCCGCGCCCGTCGCCCCCGCTTAACTCGCCTCTTGCGCCGCCGCCAAGGACCTAGCGAGGAGCTACACGGCGACGGGGCCGTGACATCGTGTGTACGGTATCTGCCCGCTCGCCCCTGCTCGCACGCCGCCCCGCCATCCACGCCTGCCCGCCCGCCCAGAGAGCAGGGGCCCGCGCACCCGCACCCACACCCGTCGCACACCGAGTTGCGACTCGCCGCATGTACCGTAAATGGTGTGCCCGACACCCTGCACCTCTGCGGGCTCGGGCCTCCTGTTGAGCAATCTACCGTCTTGTTCCCGACGTGCCCCGCCCCGCCGGAGTTGAAGAGTTGTGCAGGGCATGCGCGAGAACGCACCATGCGCGTACATGTTTGTCCCACACAGACACAGCGAGGACGCCAGCCGTGCGCCGCTCGTGGCAGACAAGCAGATGGCGGCGGCACCACGCCGCTAACGACCGACATTCACCGTCCCCCACGTTGTAGCATCACGAACGACTAGAACGCACATGCGCTCGCGCGACGGAGACCGCGCTGGACGCGCCGGGCACGCCGCGTACGATCTAGGACGAAACGAATGCGCGAACAGTGACGCCGCGGCACTCTCGAGCGGACACGATTTACGACGCTCGACTCTCGAGTACATAGTGCGCCTCGAGGCATCCCCGCCGCCCGCTATTGCAGCGCATCCCCGCCCGTTTGTGCACGGTGGCTCGCGGCGCCATGGACGATGCCACTGGCGTACATCGATCGAATGCGCATCTCAGTGCCGGGGGAATTTAGCTTTGCGCCTCCGCGTCGAGCACGCCAGCCTCGACGTCTCACGCATCACGCGGGCGAGGACATGAATCATTAGACGGCATTCACGCCGTACGGCCGTTCTCGCCCGCGAGGCGCTGTGCTGCACGGCAAGGGGC